TAGACTCAGCTCTACATGTGTGTGATATCGAAATTTCCACACTCTCCCCTTAACTGGAGCACTTAGAGAATTTTTTGTAATTCAAGGCTCCCCATTTACGTGAACTTCAATTTTATTGATTTCATAATCAACCAACTTCATTAATTATGTCCTTGATTGTTAGTTGCTTTTGCTTTTTGAACAAGATGATGGAAATATTTCTTCACATTAAGTGACTTCCTTTTGAAAAGATTTGATGTACTTGTCATCGTAAGTGACATAATATCTATCCTTAATCTTACTTGTCATTTTGTTGAGAACACGATGTACATTTGAAGTAAGAGAATGTCCAAGAAAAAGAGCTTCATCTACTTTCACATCAAATTTGTTACGAGTCTCCTTTAAATTATAAAGAAAGTACATGCAACCAAAAACATGAAAGAATTTCATATTAGGTTTACAATTGCTCAATTTATCATAAGGAGTTATCAAAAATCTCTTACTAATGTAAAATATTTTTATTGTAAACAATGTTCTTCCAACTGCATCAACCACGAAATGAAGTGGTAGATTTACGAATGAAAGCATTGTCCTCGTAGTTTCACACAGTGAACGGTTTCACCTTTTAACAACATAATTTTGTTGTGGTGTGTAAGGAGATGAGAAATTATGACTGATGCCTTTCTTAGTGAAAAAATCCTCAAACACTTGGGTTTTGAATTTAGTCCTATTGTCATTTAAGAATCTTTCTTACAGGGTCTCGTAGCTATATCTCAATATTCTTCACAACATCAATCATCTTCTGTGTGGTTTTTTATTTCAGTTTACGAAAGAAAACCCACGTAAAACAAGAAAATTTATCAAAATTAACAATCATGTAATTATTACCACCAATGATTTCAACTGAACACAGATGACAAAAATCGATATGAGTCAACTCAAGCGTGTCAACGATCTTTTTATTCATGATTGATGAATGACTTTTTCAACGTTGTTTTCCCAACCCACAAAAAGCACACTAATTCTTTTTATCATATTTGAGTAAAGAAAGGCCTCACACAAAATCACCAAGAATAAGCTTGTTGATATCCTTGAAGTTTAATTACGAAAGTCTTCGGTGCCAAAGCTAACTATCATTAGATGATGCTTTCGCAACCAAAGAAATTGACGGCTTTCTTTCAATTGCCTTCATATCTAGTGGATACATCTATCCTTTTCTTTTAGACCTTAAAAGAACATTTTTGACACCTCGTGCTCAATCACATATCCTTATTCATCAAACGATACTTTCAACCAGTACCTACAACCAATTCAGAAACACTTATCTAATTGTGTTATAAACTTTTAACGTAAGGAACCTTTCTAATTGTGATACCCCCATTTGAAATCATGCCATATCCTTTAATTTCTCCTGTCACTTTATTTCTATACTTCAATCTTCTAGTATCTTTCAGACTCCCATACTCTCATAACTTTGATTTCCTTCCTGTCATGTGATGTGAGCACCTATTATAATTGAATCATTCATAATCGTACTGCTCGACACGAATCGCCTGCTCAATTAAGTCAATTTAGGAACCCAAACCATCTTGGGCCCTAGTAAGACTTGCTACTTGGAGTTACCAACGGGAAAAATCTTAGTATTTTCAATCCAAAACGATTTTGAAGTCGAAACATTATTCATATTTTTCACCTTTTTGTAAACTTGAGTGTTTTTTTCACAACAATTAATTTCAACAAATGTTCCTTGTTTTTAATAGACACCTTTATTATTGGAATCTACTCTTTTGGAAACGCTTTTCTTCTTCCTTTTGCATTGAAAATTTTGTTTTTGAAACAACTTTTGATTAGAAACAACATTAATTCTATTAAACAAATGATTATTTTGAAACATTTTTCTTTGACTAATCACTTTGTTTCACAACAATCTTCTTTGGTTTAACACTCCAAATGTGAAAAGAGTTTGAACCAAAATGGGATTTTGCTCACTCAAATTGTTCTGAATATTTTTCTGATTGTGAAACCTTGATGACTTGTTGGACATTTGACTTCATAGATGTGATTTTGAACAAGAACCTGAACAATCAACATTTTGATATTTAACAATGTTAATAGATTTTTCCACAATCTCTTAATGTCTCAGAATCTTCTTCTTATTATTCATATTCTTTTTGTATCTAGCTCTCCTATACTTAATCTTTTCTTTTGCATCCATTTTGATAAGAGCATCTTGATCACACATCTTAGATTTCCCTTTTTGATTACTCAAATTAGATTTATCCTCTGAAATGGGTTTCGATCCTGAGTTTCATGATTTTATACAACAACTTGTGAAGTAGATTCTACATTTAAAGGTACTAAAATCTATCTATTCTTCACTCTCCAAGAAGTCTTATTTGAATGACCTATTGTCTCCTCATCATTATCTATGGTTTCATACCAAAAATGACTCGCGCATGAACTCAAATAATTAGTTTTCACAATAGAAGTTAAATCAATGGTGTCAGTTCCATCCAATCCTTTCGTAACAAAAACCTAATTAGGAATACTTTGGAGTTTTTGAAACACAATGGCCTTTTCTTTAAATTCTCAATTCCATTTATTTCAAGCACCTTTTCAAATTCAGGAGATTTATCGATATCAAGTTCCTTTTTGGTTCATTATCATTCAACATTAAATTGGAACAATCAATTTCATCTTCTATAGAATTTCACTAATCAGACTTTCAACAGAATCAAACTCAATTCCACCATTACGATATTCCTCAAAAGTCAATTCATTACACATCGAGTTATAATTTTCCTTTAAATTCTTTTTGATATTTTGTTTATCTTCTTTAGTTAAAACATAACTCATCATTTTCTTTATTTCCTTTGTTTTAAAAAATTCTTTAATATTTTCTAAACCAAACCTATAAGCATCACTTAAGTATTCATTAGGCGATATCTAGGATTCATATTTGTAACATTATGAGTCTATCTCTTCTTCCTGAAATTCTGATAATGGTAACAATTTCTTATGCATATGATCAGCTATTTGGTAATTAACGTAGAGTTAAGTAATATATTTGTAAAATCTTTTCGCAATTTTGGAAAAAAAAATATTTCACTGTTTCATGAGCATCCTATTTTCAGAATTCAAAATACAAACATCATTGTTTATTCTAACAATATCTAATTCCAACTTCTCTATCATAAGTTTTCTCTCTTCATTTCTAAACTTGCACCGGCTAAGATCAACATCAAGATTAGATACCTTCAATCTAATCTATTTTAGACTATCACCCAACTCATAACTATTATCTTGCAATTCAGTTAATTCATCATCATAACGATAAGCAGGAATATTTAAAGATTTAAGAATAGAATGTACCTTCTCCGTCACTTTGGTGCATACTTCAATGTGTTATAATGCTCTCTTCACAGAAAAACATAAAGCATATGAATTTGCATCATCAAACATTCCACCATTCTCTGAACTTCAGTATTGGTCCTTTAAACTTGTGCTTCGCACCATCAAGGAGCTTCCAACTTTCATACCTGCAAAATCATTAGCAACAAAGAAAGAACCATGTGTAGGTCTACGAAGCTCTTCATCCTCTAAATTAGTAAACCACACCTCAATGTTTCCATCATCGTTGTTATATTCTTCCATTATCGAAGCCATGTACTAACCATGAGATCTTTTTCTTCACTCGTAAATTTGTCATCTGTCACATCAGAGTAAGATTCATCAATAATTACCTTTTCCATGGACTTCATTTCTTTCGCTGCCTCTCCATTCGCAACAATAGCCAAAGAGCCTGTATCTACACTTGATTTTACATTTATTCTGTGATTTCATTTTCAAGAAACTTTAAGATACCGACAATTTGTGCTAATGAGTAATTTTTAATATGTTCATGTTTCTTCACAGTTGAAGTAATCATCTTTCATTCTCAATGTAAATTGTTCATGAAAGCCACCTTTTCTTCAATCGGCTCTCTTTTCAATTTATACTTTAACATTAGGCTCAGTAAGTGACTGAACCTACTAGCAACTAGATCAATTGTCTCTTTAGCTTTCTATCGAAACGATCCAAACTACAAAAGTAATTTTGTTTGCATAAAATGAGTTTGATCAACGTCATATGAGTAAAGTTCTTTCACTCTCTCCCAGATATCATGAGCAGTTACAAGAGAGTTTACAATTTTGAATGTGTCTAGTGGGAGTGCAAAACATAAATCTCTTTAAACTTGCAAATCTCCATAAATCGTCTCATTTTCTTTAGTTGTCAGATCTTTCTGCTTTTCGAAAAGAAAATCCGCATATTATGTAAGTGTGAGAACATATTCTTTTCTTTTTGTGCATTTATCAGGACCTATAATAATAGATTTCCAAATGTACGGTCCATGTTTTTTAGTTCTTGAGATATAATCTTCAAAGTGTGACACCATAAATTCATAATCATCGGGAAACAAAATTGAAATACGAGTTAAAGATCCAATAGTACACTACTACAAAAGAACCCGGGTCCTAAAGCCAGCGAGACCTATGTGGAAAAAGTAATAGAACCCGGTTTTAAAACCGGCTCCTATCTAACACAAAAGAACCCGGTTGTTCAACAAACCGGGACATATAAGAGGAACATAACGCCTAATAATTATTCATATACGCACATTAGGACACGGCCCAACCGTACAAACTGGGTTATATATGGCTAAAAGAGCCCGGTTCCAATCCCCAAACCGGGTCATATAAAGATTAAATATGGACCGGTTCCATTCAAATAACCGGGTCTTTTTCAATATTCCAAAAACAACCAGCAAGCATGTTTATAACAATTCAAATGTTGCCAGCTTTATTCAAATAATCATAATATAAAGAAAACAATTGATAAAAAAACACAAAGTGATACTTGCATCCAAAGCACACATTCAAAACAAAACAAAAATTATGCATTGATGAACAAATTATATTTTTATAAACATGTTAAATAACCAATCATTATAGTCATCGGTAAAAACATGCTTAAGTGTTGCTAAAAACTCCTTGATTTTGTCATTTCATACTACATAAAACTTGCATAAATAAATTCAAAAATAAAATTGTTTTCCCAAGTGTTGTCCAATAATCAAGCGTTGCAGTTGTCCTCCAACCTCACTTAAAAACAAAACAGAACAGCTATCCTTCATTCCCACTGAAAAAACAAAACACAACAAATAATTAGTTTTTTATCTAGCATTTTAAAAGAGTTGAATTTAGCGAACAATCATTAAACTAAAAGTAGGATGTTATAAAAATTAACAACTAACCTTATATACACTTTTAGACAACCACATCATTCATAAAATTTTTCAGAAATTCTCTGGCCCATGTAGCAACAGTTGTAACCAACAACTTTTCCTCAAATGCAGTTTTGTCATTCCAAAGGGTACCAAACTATATGAAAATAAAATTAAAAGTACTAAATAACAAAACAATTTGTTTCTTGCTTTAGATAAAATATTTTTTTAAGAAATACTTACTCTGCTCGGAAATTCATGTTGTCTGTTCAACACAAAATCAAAGATCCAATTCATTACATAATGCCCACTCAGCTCACGTTCCAATACACCAGCTTGGTTGCATTAAAATTGTGATAGAAGGTAAACATAAATCACAAATGAAACTACATCTAAGTAGTGGATAAGTAAAAAGAGATAAATTACCTTAGTGAGCTTCCATACAATTGGAATTGATGTGTTCTTTTCATACATCTCAAAAGCCCTAAAAATAAACAAGCAACAGAGTTGTATTCAAACTTATAGAAAGAATGTTATTTTCATGTCATATTAAGAAATTTCTTACTTTTTCAAAAGTTGGAGTAGGTAGTAGTTGTCAACCGGATTTTTCATAGGCTTCATCAGAGAATCCAAAATGTATACAATATGATTTCAAGGGCAAATCACCAAGAGGACCCAATGTGTACTAGCAATGTTTTGAAATTTTAGTATAAAAACACACAAAAAAAAACTAATAACTATTAATATAGATAGCAACATATGATACTTTTGCAGGTATGGTGCGATAAGAAACGCTTTTCCATGATGAAGTTGCATCACATCAACGAGATAATTGACGACATCAATCGGAGTTTCCTGACAAGCTTTTCCAAGAATCTTATACGGGTTTAGGAAAGCACACTTTCCCATGCGTTTCTGAAGCATTAAGTGTAGAAGGCTACAAACAATATTACAAAAAATTTACAATCAAGTCATATCTTATAAGCAGCCTAAAAAGAAAATATCATGGAAATAAATAATAGTGAAATTTGAATGCACTTACATCTGCCAAGTTGTTATGATGGACAAATTAGTTGTTTGTTTTTTCAACAAATGATAATAATCTTCATATGTAACTGAAAAATCAAACGCCCCAGCTTCTAGATGTCCAGCATCGGCTACCACATGAACCACTAGGTTGGTCTTCAAAAGGTCACGAAGTGATTCTATTGGCCTTGGTTTGTTGATCTTTTGGTTAGGCATGTTTTTTTTCCATAACAGCCTTTGCAGTTGATGGTCGCGCACTTGTTGTCTGAATTTGTTGTTGTGATGGCACCTTGTTTTGTTGTTCCTATTAATAACTCATTTTAATTAGCAAGAATATCGTATATGCCATTCTTAAACATCAAAATATTTTATTTGCCGGCCTAAATATAATATTTTGATGTTTAATAGGATCATATAGAGAATTCTCTCATTTTCAGAAAATGTATATATGGTAGATAAAAAATTAAAGGATAATGAAGATGTACCTTACTAAGAACAATTGCGATCCGCGGCCATTGAATTACAGTGCCAACTGCATCTATTAGGATACCAACTTCATTTGTCATCACAGGAACAGGAATACCTTTATATCTTTCATCTATGTTGTCAATCATAACCTTCAAGTGATTTTCGCGTAAAGGAACTGAGTGAATTAACCCATCATTATAAGGAAAGACCATCCCTCTGGCATATTTTTGGTTCATATCACCATAAGGTAACATCAAATCACAATGAGTAATAGCCTGCAATCATATAACATGTAGTGTATTTCATGTGTTAATAAGTTAAAAAATTCGATGTAAAACATAATTTGACAGCAAAGTTCAAAGTAATATGATATCAAGAAATTCAAAAAACATAAACCTAACACATTAATACAAAAAAAATATGCTAAATTTTGTATTTCTATACATTAGAGGTACCTTTTTTGTAATTTTTTTATGCATAGTGCCTTCTTTTGTAAATTCAGGGATTTGTAATTGTTTCTTACAGGGACCATTTCTGTAAAAAAAAACTTACAGGGACCATTTCTATAAAAATAACTTACAGGGACCATTACTATAAAAAAACTTACAGGGACTTTCTGTAGAAAAAAATTATAGGACCATTTCTATAATTTTTGTAACATAAGGACCATTATGTAATTTATACACAAGTTCTATTTATCTAGTTTTATCGTTTGATCTGTACAACAAATACATAACATACAGGGGAATATTTTATAGCTTTTTTGAAACACTTGGACATTATAGAACACTATGATTAGTCATCAACTCTAACTCAATTATGTATCTATTTTCATACTTTGTTTAGCCTGAAACGAGAAACAAGTGAATTTTATTACTATTTTCCCAACTTGTACCACATAATTATAGTAAATTTATGTAATCAACTAGAATTAGTGATAAAAATAAATAAACTGACTCATTGAGTTATGGATTTTATTAGTTGTTAAAGGTTGATGCTATAATAAAGAGTTACCTTTATCGTATCTAAACCATCCAATGTCGACGTCGAGCTAGACCTATTGTTTTGAACATCGAAGCATACATTATTTGGGACTTGATTCCTAGACCCTTGCATCGCAAACAATGTTCTTAACTCTGCCAATTGGGTCACAGTTTCATCTAACCGGACCTGCATTTTACTAACAAGTTCTTTGTCCACAACTTTCCTCTTTTTTTTGTCAAGTCCTTGCATCCCCTTTCTTAAGCCGATATCATGCCCCACCGCCTTAGTGTGACCAGGATGCTCCGGTCCTATTGCCATATTCAACAAATCTTCTCCGGGACCCGACAACAAATCACCATTGGATATTTCTTTTTGAACATCTATATGTTAATGCAAACAACATAATAGTCAATACAATTACTTAGACAAAAAAATATTAATAAATTTTAAAAAACAAAATTAAGAACAATATTACAAGCTTTTTTACTATGGGTTCCATGTTAGTGGTATTATTTTTGACCCTGACTCATTTTTAGATCTTCTCCCCAACACATAGTCTAGTGAACGCTCGCTTTTTATCTCATACAGCTGTGACGGCAGCTGACCTGATGCCTTCTCTTGTTCCCACTTAGGTTTGTTGCCCCGATAACCATGTGGGCCTACTCGGGCTAGATTCGTATTACCCATTGAACTAATCCTTGCTTTCTCACTAATCCTTGCTTTCTCACTTATATCCTGCCGATAAAAACAACAATCACAATTATAAAACTGGAACATAATGATTAATATCATCAAGAGACATTATATCCTACAAACCTGGAATTCCTTTGATGATATCCTTTCCTTAAATTTTTGCAATGCTGTCTTTTCCAGATATGAGTAGGTTTCAAGTGGATTTCTCTCATTCTCATTGACCAAGAAATTTTTTTAAGCCTCTTTTTGTATGATCTCCACTTGTGGTTGCAAGTCATAAGCACATATGATTTGCGGTTTTCATCATGGATATTCCAACGTTTCTGTTTTTGTTTTTTTTTTAAAGAATAACTATCAGTAACATATATTTATTAAATGAAAACACATGTAATGTGTATTAGATTAGAAACCTTGATGGTCAACCATAAGTTCTCCTTTTCATTTGTTGGCACTTTTTTCCAAGTCGGATATTCGATAGAAATTAACTTTCTCGTAACAGCCCCGCAGTCATTGGCAAACTTATTTTAATTAGCGCCACAATGCTGACCAAGACTGTTAAATTCAACTTCTTGTGGCTCTGTTATATCTTTTAGACGTGTGGCTGTTCTTTTTTTCCTCGGTTGTGGTTGTGGTACCGGTTGTTGTTGTGGCTGATCATTCATCATCTTTATTGTAGGTGATTTGCAAATGGCTCAACCACCAACCTGAATAGAATACAAAAACAATTCAACATGATATCACCAATAACTCTCTTATAAAGTAGTAACAAGTGAAAAAAAAAAATCATCAAAACATGAAGAAGAAAAAACACATCAAGTGATAAGTTTAAACTAAAAAAGAATGCTATGGTTATGCATTTTTGTGTGTATTTCTCCTTCCAAACATGTTTATGTGTATATAAATGTACACACTACTATACATGTGTTTGGTGTGTAAGTACAAGGCCATATAGAAATGCTAAGCTTACAATTTACATAGGAATTAGGAATTTAGTTCAAATTATGCATAAAAAGATAAATAAGTTAATCGTATAATATACTCGACTAGTGATAATTCAGGAAAAAAATAATGTCCACTTTTTATCAGTTTCAAATCTCACTGAGCACTTTACACAAATACTTAACATGCAAATTTTCAAGACTACAATTTGTAGTTAGACCTATAGCATAAAAAACTGATGTAAAAGATCACTACATGAATTACAAAAAGAAAAAATAAAAGAACTTACATATCAAAATATGAAACTTCACATGATAATTAAAAAATTACTTTCAAAAAAATATGAAGCCTCATTGAAGACTTTTCACAAACACTTAATATACAATTTCAAATGTTCAATACCAACAAATTTAAATTGTAGTACTTAAACACTAAATTACAATTTTCTCAAGAACTAAACATATCAAAGTTGAATAGATTAAAAAGGAATTCACAAACCAGATAACCACAAAATAAGAACTTAGTATTTTCAAGGATCAAGGATGTATCAGTGTATTGGATTGCTAGGCACGATCGATATATACATAGCTACATACATCCATAAATTTCTAACAAAATCCTTCAAGTTCCTGTTTTGTTCTCATGTATTCTCGTTTAAAACAGCATTAGTACATGATTCATGCATATATAAATCAACGATTTTACAAAACCTAAGTAAACCCCTCTAGTAAAACATTCAGAAATCAAATATCAACATATAAAACTTACAATTTGCAAGAGTGGAAGATGTTAGCAGTGGAAAAAAGAGGAGCAATAGAGATGTGAGTCGTGTATACGAAGACTGCTGCCCTAGCAATTAATTCGTGACCTGCAGACTTGGCGACTTGCTAATATGAGGTAAGGGATAGGGGAAATCGACGAAAAGATAAGGACCAGGAGGAGGAATCGTCGCACAATGGTGTTCCCGTGATTTTGTGGTAGCTAGTGAAATCGCCGGTTGGTTGTGCATCGAAGAGAATGCGAGGTGTAAGTAGTGAAAACGTCTTTTGGGGATTTGATTTTACCCAAAATTTGTGGCGGGTTGTACAATTCCCATGGCGGGATCTTCCAAAACTTTACTAAAAGTTAGGCTATCAGGAGTGGACCCGAAAAGACGCGTGGGAGCTGACGTGTCAGCTCCCTTCACGCGTGAACACCGCCCCACCCTCTGGTGGGGGTCTTGTTCCGTGGACGCGAAGACGAGTGAAGACGAGTGATTTGATTGGTTAATTACTTTTTTGACCGTTGCTTTGCTTTATACGGGAAAAAAAATTAATTAATTAATTAATTCTTTAATTTACTTTCTCTATCTATATATACATCCATACATACAATTTTTTTTAAAACATTCATACACATTCTCTCAAAACAAACATACAAACTCAACCAAAAAATGGATAGCGATTCTGATGACAATATGGTTTTGCACACACTATTGTCTGCGGCACAAGATGCGATTAGTCAGAGAGGCGAAACTTCACATCGCGAGAAGAAACATAGAAAATATATCAATCGGGATCGAGAGGCGACACATGAACTTTTGGTACGTGATTATTTTGCCCCTGATAGTCTTTATGACCTTTCGAAATTCGAAGACCGTTTTCGTATTAGTAGAAACTTATTTTTTTCGTATTTTTATAAAATTTATTTATCTTATAAATTATGTTTTTTTATTTCATATAGTGTTACGAAAAATAAAAAAAAAATTTACCTATTTTAAAAATTATGTTATTTACTTAACAAAATGTTAAAATAATAATAATAATAATAATAATAATAAAAGTAAATATTGTTAGTGGTGACCATTTCCATAGTGGAGTGGGTTGGTGGTGAAGGTGATGTGGCGCATAGGTGGCACCACTTTTCCGGTGAGTTTGTAGTGACCACTCCATATAGCCTTATATCAGCCAAATATGAAAGGGCGTTGATTTTTCCCCTTAATTGTTTTGATGCTGCCACTGAATAATTGATGGAAAGACAATTATACCCTTAACCTATTTAAGTGTAAAATACCTTAAATAAAACCCAAGGATCACAGCCCCTTATGTATCGTGCACCACATTGTTGAGCTTGAATTTTAAAAAAAGGGATATAGTTTTTAATTCTTTAAATTTTTTAAAAGAGAAAGAAAGTATAGATTTCCTATCATAAGTTTTTTCCATAAAAAAAAGGATATATGGTTTAATCTTTCCCTCTCTTCAAAATCATAAAAGGGAGTATAAATGTGTTGAGGGACATAATTGTCCACATATTAACTATTCCGTGGAAATGTCAATAGATTTTTTGGAAAAATCAGCGCCCAATCTAAAAAGTAAATGGTTAATTTTTTTTACGGTATATGTTTCATTAATTAAGTAACTTAAAATTTTCAAACTTGACTTTTATATTCTTATATAAGTTCCAATGGATACCTTTTGTTTATTGAATTCTAATATATATCATTATCAAAATAATGTGTTGATTTGACAAAAAAAAAAAAAAAAAAACAAGTAATATTTTTTTTTTAAAACCCATCTTTTATACGTACATGTCTCGAACCAGATTGGGAACCGATCAAATGAGAACAATCGGGAATCGGTCCATTGTTAGAAATAGTAGGGTTTGTTGGGTTGTCATGAGTTGCTTTTGAAGCAAGTCACCCTTAAGAATCTGAATTTCCCACTATGTTCCCGCATGTAAAATTTGGAGAGGTTTTGGGGCGCTACCCCAAACCCCGCCCGCTGACCTGGCAGCGGGACCCCAGCCAGGGGCTCTGTCCCTTGGACCCCGCTAGAGGCGCCACCCTTTTGGAAACCCCGTACCCTGGGGTACTACCCCCGGACCCCCGACTTGGTATAACACGCTATAGGCAGATATGTACGCTTTCCAAGATTCCTAATAAGAGCAAGCTCGAGACGAAGAGATCTTAAGAGAATAAGTGTTTAATGGGAGTTTAGACCTGGCTTGAGTACAATCAATGTGGTTTAGACCCATTGTACGAGTGGTTGTTAGGCTCAGGGAAGATCATCGCATGTCTGGGTCGAAGCAGACAATATTGTCGAAGGAATTGTAATTTTTGCGTTTCCCATTATACATTAATAAAGATGATAAAGTGGTTAGAATCAATAGTTGTAATCTTTTTAGGTTAACAAAAGAGGGTTACTTGATTATTATTTATATGTATATATATATATATATATATATATATATATGTGTGTGTGTGTGTGTGTGTGTGTGTGTAACATCCCGATTTTTAGGAATAAGATTTATGGTTTAAAAGGCAATTTTCTTCGGCAACTCGTTGAGTTTATGTACACAAACTCGACGTGAAGGGAGCTCTCTACTCGACGAGCTTTTGAGAAAAACTCGACGAGTTGAGGCTGTGTATCAAAACCCTAATTTTTAGAGCTTGCTCCATATTTAAAGGACCTTAAGTCCTCCTTCCAGCCTTATTATCACATTTTTGTGTCCATAAGGAAACCCTAATCGATCTAACCCCCATTTTGAGTGTGTTTGAGGCTAAAGTGTGTGTCTTTGGTGCATTATTTGAAGACGCTTAAAGATTTAGAAGCTTTGAACGAGAAGGAGCTTGTAAAATTTTATGTAAAATGCTAGATGTCTTTGTGAATCTTGCATTTGTATGATGGGTTGGGCCCAAGGGCATGCATGTGTTACGATAGTCCCAGAAACCCAAATCCTCGTGAAGGATGCTCGAATGAGGATCTGGAAACGAGTGGTAAGTCTGCTCGCATGTAATTTTGTCATTTTACATGAATTCCAATTCTATTTTCTACAAACCAAACAAAATTTGGAATTAAGTCAAATTCCATGTCATGCCAACCAAACAACATATGGAATTGGATTCAAATTCCTGACAGATTCCTTTTCCAATTCCAGTTCAAATTCCATTAGCAACATTTTATGAACCAAACAGCACCTAAGTTTTCTTTTCCTAAACAACACCATATGATTAAAAGTAGACCTGACAATCGTGTCGTGATCGAGTTGATGGGTTGCGGGTTAGCGAGTCAAAATATACCAACCCGAACACGACCCATTTAACTATAAAGGTCATGGTTTGGCAGGTTTAGAATATAAACCCATATATGACCTGTCAACCCACATATTTATATAAGTTCACGGGTTGGCAAGTTCATGTGTTAGATTTGGGTTCATAAGTTATTGGGTCAGATTTGGGTTCATAGGTTCGTGGGCCATATTTGGGTTCGTGGGTCAGACTCCGTAAATAAATTTGATAATTAAACATGAATAAATTCTTGATGCAAACATATCCGAACTTTAGAAACTTAAGTCTTAAACATCCAAATGAAAATAAAAAAACATTCATGGAAACATGTTCAAACTAAAACATTAATACAAACATTAATAATTAAAATTCAAACGACGCTAAAACATATTATATAATGACACGTCTCATCGTCAATCATATCTTTGTCTGAGACCTCACTCAAATCCTCTTCATTTTTTCCCCAGGTGTGGGTTATGATATCCATATTCCTTCATTGTGATCTGACCGTAAGTAAGTAGTGTCATTAACATCATCATTTGAAGATGGAATGTCGATAGAAAATGGGGGTAGTTCATCAAACTGGTCGTACTCTTCCTCGTCCACAACATCATCAACACCAACTATATGTCGTTTGCTATGCATAACAATGTGCTTTCCCGATTCCTTTGGGTCCTCAACATAGAATACCTGAGTAGCTTGTTTAGCTAGGATGAATGGTTCTGATACATATCCGTTTGTGGAAAGGTCAACAACTGTAAAACCATCATTGTCAAACCCATTTGCATTTTAACATAGGTATAATGATGGAATCATATTTTAATTCCCATATTTCCTGAATGACGTCATAGTATGATTCTTTGGCGATCCTCACCCTTGTATCATGACTATCTCCATATACTTCAGTTGAGGCTATTACTGTTACACCACTATTTTGAAGTGTACTTTTTCCATCTTGTTTATTAGTGTAAAATGTATAACCGTTAATGTCATATCCTTGGTAAGTTGCCACAAAATCTTCAGGACCATTCCCTAGATGTACTACAGCTTGATCCACACCGTCGATGCCATAACTTGCTCTCACTTTGTCTTTTAACCATTGTGAGAACGTTTTGTTATGTTCCTTAACCAACCATCTATTGCTCCTACCGCGATTTGACAATTCCAGTGTTCTTTTGTGCTCATTTATAAATGGAGCAATGATTGTCATATGTTGTAGGACTGTAAAATGTGCAAGTTGTAAGTCTTCTCGATTTGGAATGATCTTTTTCAGTCCAATAGTCCCACTCCCTACAAGTCTACCCTCATGTCGAGATTTTGGAATGCCAATGCTATCAACACCTTGTAAATAGTCAGTACAATATTCAATTACCTCCTCTGTTGCATATCCTTCAACAATACTACCCTCTGGTCGATGTCTATTCCTTACATACCCTTTTAAGACGCCCATATATCTCTCAAATGGATACATGTATCGTAAGTATATTGGCCCACAATACTTTATCTCTCTAACAACATGAGATGTTAGATGAACCATGACATCAAAAAATGAAGGTGGGAAATACATCTCGAGTTGGCATAATGTCTAGATAATATCACTTCCCCATGAATCTAATACCTTGGGATCAATAACTTTAGAATGAATCATGTTGAAAAACAAGCATAGCTTTGTGATTGTGTGTCGAATTCGGTCCGGTAGTATTCCACGAATTGCAATGGGAATCATATGTGCCATTAAAACATGACAATCATGGGACTTCATACCAAATAGTTTTAGTTCTTTCATTGACACTAACTTCTTAATGTTAGCAGAATAGCCTGATGGAACCTTTACACCATGTAAGCACTTACAAAATTTTGTTTTCTCATCCTTTGACATGGTATAACAAGCTACTGGCAGATACGTACGCTTTCCAGGATTCCTAATAGGAGCAAGCTCGGGGCGAATTCCCATTTCAACCATG